TAGAGCATTCTTGCGCAAAAATACCTAGGGAGCTCATAGAAAGATTTATAAAGTTTACTTCGTTAAAATTTTCGTCTAGTTGTTTTACTAGTTCTTTATATTTGGCTTTTTCCGATTAACGTTGTTCTCGAGGTTTGTCTCATAGCCAACAGTGAGCTCGACCACATAAAGAGAGCCATTTGATAACGATAGCAACAAATCCGGGCGATACGTATCACCAGTTATTATTGAAGGACTTTTGAATCCAGGCACATCAGCGTAGAGGGCAGAACCGTTCACAGTTTGCAAGGTATTGGCAAGGAAGTTCAGGATTGAATTGTGTCTCCACGTAAATCGATCGAGATAACACTGACATCCAGCGACCACGTGCAATAATGATTCTGGGCCAAGACAAAAGGAGCATTCTGAACTTGAAGACAATCCCCATCTGCTAAGGTTCTTACGTGTCGGAAGAGAGTTATTGATATAGCGTATGGTAAAGTTATAAATGTTTTTCGGAAGTTTTGATTGAGCAGTAGACCACACTTTGCTAAGATGCGACAAGGAGAACTTTGTTACACTAGAGAAAAAGGATCCCTGACAAGTTAATTGATTTTGGAGTTTATCTTCATGTTCAGAGCGAAAATCTTTAAGCACTTCTTTGGTTGAGTTATAAAAGTCGTATTGGATATTAGTATGAGTATTAGTAGATTTCCACAGTTCGTTGATTGATTGATTTGGAGAAAGTTTTAAAGCTTTTCGAAGAACTGTTTCGCATTGGATAAATTTCACCGATGGAGGATAAATACTTTGACCAAATTTGTTGCGAGTTAGAAAAAGAATCGGCGATAAGAAGCAAACAAGACGGCAAAATATGGCTGAAATCGTGTTTTCGTGGGGGGTAGGTGAAATAAAATGTATTATATTTAAAGAAAACAATGACAATCCTTATGAAATCAACAACATTTATATTAAATTAAGCATAGCTTTTAACCCCATGATAATTTGTTTTAGGAAATAAGAATATTTAATTTCTGCCTGGCATATTAGTTATTTTATGCATAATCAGCAATTTACCTGGGGTGGTGCATGGTCATTTTCTTGTAAAATATTATACTTAGACAAATTTTTCTTCCAATGACCACCCCTAAAAGCAACCCTTCTAAACACTATAAGCACTTCAGAAAGACTATCGCTTTTTGTTTTCTGAAGTTAGAGCTATGTCGACACTGCTGTTTCAGGGCGGGGTCATTTTCAGGACTTTCGTCCCGGATTCAGCTTTTGGCACATATGCCATGTTGACCGCCATGGTCATTTTACCCTAAAACAGTTGAGATTACCTGTGCTAAATGAAATGCATACAAACTCATATACAGGTACTAGACTAAAGGTATATTTGCTCATTTCTATTTTTGTATAAGTTTGCTTTTATAATTGTATTATTTACAACGCCATTTTGGCTTGGTCTGGTCAAAGATATATTTTTGGTTCGAATATAGATCTGGCATTCTTATACGCGAAGTCGACGTATCAAATCAGAAATACAAAGGAGCCAAATCAAAATTAAAATTGAAAAATACAATATTACACATGAAAGGGCCCATTGTGCTCGTACGGATCATACAGGGCTATTTACAGTACGTGAATTTAGGTCACGTAGCAAACAAAAACAAGCCAAGAATGCCAGGAGTATTGTAGGTATATTGCAAACCAATTGCCATTTGTCCTGGGATTAACTACCTTGACTATTGCTATATTAGTAAAAAAAACTATAAACTACCTTGACTTTTGGTAATGTAGTCACAAGAACAACCTTGACTATTGCAGCCTATAGTACAGTAGTCCATGTAGATGAAATTATTTTAGTAATTTTGTTAGTATTTGCATTTCTTAGTATATATCTCCTTGGATGTATAAAAATGTTGTTGTGTTCATCATCTAATGTGTTTTCACATTCCTTTTGAAACTATTTGCTAAAACACCCTCTGGGTATAATAAGCATCTGGACAGCAAGTATACCCGTATTCTTGGGTTTCATATTACATCACAAAATGTGACGGGCGGTCAACTCTAAAACAAAACACAGTTATCAGAGTGAGTCGATTGTTCGTTTTATGTATTAGCTTTGTGTTCAGTGGCAAAATACATGGAATTTCGTATCATTTCCTCACTCCACTACAGCATAAGCATCAATACATTTGAGGTTGACCCCCTGTCAGATTCACTGCATAATGCTGTAGTGAAACTAGGGATGAGCCGATTAATCGGTACGGCCGATAAATCGGCCGATATTTGGCTTTTTCAAAGTAATCGGTAATCGGCCGATTATTTTTTATAATCGGATATTTGCCGATATTTCCAAATTTTTTCGTTTTTTTAAGAAAAATAACTCTATAAATATCTAGTAATCTACACTCCGTCTTGTTTTTTACACTTTTGTTGTGTGTATTTAATCCCATATCCATTAATTTATTTAACTCGTGCAGTGATCGATAACTGTCCAATATGAGTAAATATTTTCCGGAACACACTAAAGCTAGTACGTCAATTTGTGGTGTATACACAAGTATTAAAAGTTTTCAAAAAACCGTTACCGGCGCTTGTACCCCGGTACACAGAAATATCGGCCATAGCCGATTAATTAATTGGCCGATTATTTTTTTATATCGGCTCCAATATATCGGATCGGCGAATCGACTTAAAGAATAGGCAACCCCTGCCGTTAAGCACCCTCAGGGTATAACACCGTCTGGGTATAAGCATCCCCTGGGTATAAGCATCCACTAAGTATAATCTACAGAATTTGCTAAAATTAAGACAAATGCAAAACTCAGAAATGTGTGAAATGACTTTACTTTCTCTTTATATTTTCCATACTAATTTTGCAGTCAATAATGTTTCATTTAACCTGTAACATGAACAGCCCCTACAATATTGGTTAACCCATTTAGCTACAATGTGCCCCAGTGCGCCCTACTTTTTTGACCTGTCCAACGCCAGACGATTTTATTCGTCAATGGGGAAGCTTTGCAACTTAATGACTAGGGAAAAGTAATCTTTCAAAAATGTGTTCAAATAATGCTGGAAATGTCATTTCAGAAACCCAAATTTTAAGACATTGTGGGAAGGGTGTATGATGCTGGAACTCCAAGCTGCCCCCTCCTAGGAGAGCCAAGTCTCATGCACGATATGCAGTCAACCTCGACAGTTATGACAATGTCATCTGCTGAAGCTGAGGACGGGACACAGTAATTGAAATATTATACAATTGCAAGAGCATATGCAGTTGCAGAGAGTTTTGTAGGTCAGCCATGCATACTAGAAGTTATGTCACCTACCGACAATTTTTCAATGTAGGAGGCAGCAAGACATTGAGAATTTTTTGTAGATTCTTAGCCAATCACCACGGAGATTGCATATGCATTGTACAATAATATCTCCTCTTATTACTATTAAAGTTAGCCTGCGTGTCTTCTTATTACTATTAAAGTTAACCAGCATGGCAGGCTCTCTGGGTTTGGAGGAGGGTTTTGGGAGTTAAAGTTTACCAGGCTAGCCACATGTACGCATTGCGTACCTATTTTTTGGTTATATTATGAAATACATATAAAACATTTATTATGTGTGACCCATACAGTTGTAGAAACACTTGTAGTAGTTTGGGAGAACTCGAATAACGTGGAAAAACTCGCCCTAAGCCTTAGGTCTCGTTTTCCCACACATTATATCCAGGCATTATTCTATGTTTGTAGTAATAAGGCTTTTCAAAAAGCAATTGAAATTTTTAATAACAGCAAACCTGTAGACGCTCAGAAATACCAGGATTGTATGTGATAAACCCTTTTTTCTTATTATGAAATGTTACTCGCCCCAGGTTTCGAAGTTCAGCAGCGCAAATTATTAAGTACGGTTCATGAAAAGCACGCCTGTCTAAATCAAAATTGGAAGTACGCCTATTTTACTCGAGTAAAATATGAATTAAGTTCGGCTCATGAAAAGCACGGCGTCTAAACCGGGCCTAATACACCAGATAAAACTGCGGCTTCATGTACTAGCTGTTCATCATTCACAGGCAAACCTTGTAATATGATGGGTTGATAAAATTAAATAACTTAAATACATATGTCATAATCACAACTCTCAATTAAGACATCATGAGCACAAATACTGCATACAAAAATGATAGTGTATGTCAGACCGGTCACCATGATTTCTTCGTAAAAATGCATGCATGCATTGTACTCATTATGCCGGTTTCAGTTCCCTTATCGATTCTTATCATGTTTGAAATTATCTTGGTCTCCATAAGGTACTCTAAATACCACGACCGTCCTATTAATCTTGGATCTTAATTGGACACCCATACTCTTAACCATGCACAGATTCTTGCGACTTGCAGTGTATATGCGTCCATACACAGCTAAAGGAAAGATAGAGTTTTGATAGCCCATAAGCTTGTCGTAGCCGTCCATTGAGTGAACCCAGTTTGGACCTTTAGTACCTTTTGAAGTAAAATTACCTTTCTTTCGCTGTTTATTAATGCCAACCGGGCCACAGGCCTTTAAACCCTTCTGGGTCAACGTCGGCCATCACGTCATACACAGCATCACGAGAAACAAGTAAATTTGTGCCCCTGACTTATTTTTTTGTGCATTGCACGATAGCCTAATAGCTTGCCAGGATTTTCAAATTTCTTGTACCGCTTCTCTCACATCACCAACTCGTACGTTACGATCCAGTTATAGTATATATCAAAATAACGCAAACGCCTGTCTATAATTATAATGTGCGTATGCTCCATTCATAGCTCAAAAAATCTCGTACAAAATCCAAAATTTCTTTTCTGGTCTGTTATGTTTATATTATAACCTCGAATCGAACACACGCACGCACTTGTGTGCTAATAATGTAATGTGATATTAAGAAATAACTATTATATACAAGCATAAGGTAATTAGTTTATCATCGATTTCTTAATTGCTACAACGCGGAAGGGCTCAGGGTCAAATGGTTTGGACAGTTTATTCAATTTCGGTTGTCGTAGGAGGACATGTGTCACAGAGGGTGATGTTGTTTGGCTTGGCACGACTTCGTTTGTCGCTGTATGATTTCATGGTTGATTTGTTCTTTTCGTCTCGACTACGTATCTCCTCATCTTTCTCGGAGTTGCTTGGTGTTGATGGGGAATCTGGAAGGTACGTTTTTAGCTTTCGGTTATTTAGTGGATACGGAGATGGTGCTATGTGGTGTGGCACAATACTGGCGCAGGAAGTTATACATGGCTTGTTTCCAGTTCCGACCTTCAACTGTGGCAGCTCGAATTGCTTTCTCAATAGTTTTCATGAAGCGTTCAGCTTCGCCGTTGGCTCTTGGCCAGTATGGGGTTATCTTACGGTGCTTAAAACCGAGGTGGTTGGCAAAGTTCTCAAACTCTTCACCATTAAATGGAGGGCCATTATCTGACTTGAGAATCTCAGGGATGCCTTGTCTGGAGAATATGGCATCAAGCTTTGGAATTGCGGATGTGGTGGTGAGAATTTCGACTTCCGGGTATCGACTGTATTCATCAATCACGACTATCAGGTATTCGCCGGTGGAAAATGGTCCAACGAAATCAACTGCCACATTGGTCCAAGCTTTCTCTGGGAGCGGGGAGAGTTTCAGTGGTTCTGCTTGGAGGTGAAGACGTTCCTTGGGTAGAGGCTTGAAAGGGCAAACACATCTTGACGTTGGCTTCAACAATTTTGTCAATGTCTGGAAACCAGACTTTTTCGCATAGGAGTTGCTTTGTTTTAACAATGCCTTGATGGCCAAGGTGGGCTAACTCGATGGCTCGATTGTGCAGAGACTGTGGGAGAACAATACGGTTTCCACGGAGGATAACTTCGTCACAGACCATCAATTCGTCTTGGAAACGGCGGTAGCGTTCGACAGTTGGATCGGTCCAGTTGAGGGAAATCGCTGTGACTACTTTTTGGAGGAGAGGGTCCAGCTTGGTTTCAAGTTTGACTTCTTCACGAGTCATGGCTTTGGGAATGGCGTTCGAACAAACATAATTTGCGTAAAGTTCAGCTAAGTTCTCAGTTTCGTTTATGAAATTTACTGGTTTGGGATGGCGGCTCATGAAGTCAGCGGGGTTGTCTTTCCAAGGGCGATATTGTAACTGGCAATTGTAAGGCATGAGGCGGAGTTTCCATCGGTCCATGCGCGGTGTTGCAGGTTTCTGGGTCTTGAAGATGCCGAGAAGAGGCTTATGATCCGTGATGATCTGAAAATGTGAGCCGTAGACGTAAAGATGAAAGTGTTCAACTCCCCCAAACGACGGCTAACATTTCGCGTTACGTCTGCGAGTAACGACTTTCGACGTCAGATAAAGCGCGACTGGCGTAGCTGATGACTTTTCCAGCTTGAACGAGAAGGGCAGCGAGACCGACAGGTCTGGCATCAACGATGATTTCGGTTGACTTGTTTTGATCAAAGTAGGACATTATGTTCTGTCCCATTAGTGCAGCTTTCAGGTTGTTGAGGGACTTTTGTTCGTCGGTCATCCATTTCCACTCGGCGTCAGTTCGAGTGAGAGCACGAAGTGGAGCAGTGATGGTAGAGTAATTGGGGATGAATCGTATTGGGACAAACCAAGCAGAGACTTAACTTCGCTGACGTTTTGAGGAGCGCGGGCTTGTTGGATGGAGTCGATTTTCGCAGGATCGGCTTGGACTCCTTTGGCGCTGAAGATATGACCATAGAAACACACTTGGGAATGAGAGAAGTGGCATTTGTCCTTGTTTAAGCGCACGTTGTAATCTGAGAGGCATTGAAGGACAGCTTGGAGGTTAAGATCATGTTCGAGTTGGTCTTTTCCGTACACAATAATATCATCAGAGATATTCTTGCATCCAGGTAGTCCAGCAAGCAGTTCAGCGGTGGTGTTCTGGAATATCTTGGATGCACCGTTGATACCAAACATCAGGCGCCTGTATCGACGTAGCCCAATAAATACACGCAACAACTAATCGTGAGATTGATCTAGGAAGACTCCTCGGCTGAATTGTTAGCCAAATACATTCAAATTTACTAGATGATAAGTCACGTCGAATTCGATATGGCAGATTTCGGTGAACATAAACAGCAACTCCACCTCCTTTTTCCCCCGTTCTGTCGCATCGGATAATGTCATAATCACATAGAGCAATTGCTTCCTTAGGAATTGCTTCAGACAGCCACGATTCAGCAATGCATATGATTTGAAATTCATGTTGATCATTAATACAATGAAGTTCGTCACCTTTTCCCGCAACAGATCGAGCATTTAACACCAGAAAGTTTGGTAAATCGTAAGTCTTACCACAATTTAATAATTTTGGTATTACACAGTTTGAAGGATTGTGAAAGCGACGATTCCTATGATCAAGAAGTCTAGTATTTCGAGACGTAATTGTCACTGCTATACAATGTTTATTCTTTCCAGATCTTTTCCCTCTATATTTCTTTCGAATACCAAGATAACCAATTCTCTGCCAGATATCATTGTTAAAACATTGGTAGTTTTTAAATTTTAACAAGAAAGTGCCAGAATATTTCATTCAAAGCCTTCAAATTATTTCAAAAATATGGAGAGCTCTAAATTGCCGTGGCAGCCATGACGGCGCCCGCCGCAACTCAATAGGTTGAGTTGTTGAGCGGTAGTGCAACTGAGAAGATTGCCACTGTTACCTTTTATGACGTGGAACGTAGCATTAACGGTTGTGGACTTATAACGAACAGAGGTGGACCAACTTCCGGGTAAAGGTAAAGGAGTGGTGGAGCCGTAGGAGTATATTTTGGTGGTGGGAGGGTTTAACATGGCAGAGAGGTGTGTGTTAGGTCGCTTCATCAAGCAGGTTTGCAGAAGCACCAGAATCGACAAGTACAAAGATGGGCTGGCCACCAATGTTAACGATGCAAGATGGAGCCGGGGCGGAGGGGCGCACTGGATGGCGAGGAGGCGGTGAGGACAGTCTGCTCGGAGTGGATAACAAAAGTATAGGCAGGGTCTTGCTCAGAATCATCAGTATTTGTTGGACAAAACGAAGGCGCTGCTGGGATCTGGAGGGACAAACTTTGGCAAAATGTCCATTTTTGCCACAAGAACGACACGTTTTCCCGTTGGCAGGGCAGGAAATACCATGAGGAAACGGTCCGCCGCAATTTCGACAGGGAGAATGAGTGTGTGTTCGTTGATTGTTGGGAGTGTGGGGCGGAGCATGCTGGTCCGGGTGGACAGGATATGGTTTGCTACGTGGGGGAAGGGCATTGACGCTTTGGTCAGTACTGGTAGGTTGAATGTCTCTGGCTTGTCGATCAGTGATCTCAGCTACACGACCGGCTTCGAGAAGGGCTGTAAGACTGAGGTCCTCGCGAAGGGCACGTAGTCTAAGCTTGTGAGAGGTACAGCTGAAGACAATTTGTGTGCGAATTTCTTTGTCAACGTCAGCAAAACCGCAGTGTTTGGCAAGCTGTCTAAGCCGGGTATGGTACGAAGCTAGGTTTTCATTCGAGCGCTGTTTCGCCTGACGAAATTGATATTCCTCGTAGACCATGTTGACTTTCGGAATGAAATACGTGTTTAAACATTCCACGGCTTTTTTATAATCTTTGTCTCCACCCGTGCCGGGTAGTGTTTCAAAAATATTGTCGACATCTGGGCCAGCGTAGTGTAATAACAACGCTCGTTTCTGGGTAGCATCGGTTATATTCATGCCAACAATTAAGCGTTCAAAGTGAGTAACCCTTTTGGTCCAACGTGGACCAGCATGAGAGTCAAGGTGAACGTCAAACGGGGGGAAAACGGGTATAGTGATGTAGCCATAGGACTGAATGTTGTGGCGCGGCGCTGTTGATTCGTGCTTGACGTTGATTGCAATGTCTGTCGTGGAATTTGCCGTGATTTCCATGCGTCGAAGGACTGTTCAGCAGATATCTGGATTACAGAAGTGGTGTATACGTACGCAGTAAAGAAGCAATGGATTCGTAAACTTCGTTTTTTGTTTAGGTATCCTCGTCGCCAGATGTTGTGTTTATATTATAACCTCGAATCGAACACACGCACGCACTTGTGTGCTATAATGTAATGTGATATTAAGAAATAACTATATATTATATACAAGCATAAGGTAATTTATAGTTTGAGATGCAATACGATACTGTATCTAAGGACACTATATTACATGGTCATTCCTTGACATACATTTCTGTAAGTCTGTTTTGAGTTGAATATCTTCTTTCCAACTATCACGGTCCGCCGTGGCGCACATTATGGGGGGGGGGGGATGCGAAACCCCTCTTAGCGTCCGAATGTCACTAAAAGTCGGTCCCATTCTTCCTTGATACTGTGCGAAAACTCTGTCCCAAAATTCGGGTATAAGAATTAATATTTACTTCTGTCCGACTCCGTGAATTGGGACCGACAACACAAGAGCTGGTTGGTAAGATGTTATGAACAAAGGACACGCGTTCAGCTATTCATGCATGGCCGAAAGGAAATACAAATACATTTCCTGTATGTCATGTGTATTGGATTACATAAAATCGGCCTGAGGAACTTTTAATGTATCGCGTTACATTACATAAAATGCGCTATTCCGCATTAGGGACCGGTCATAAAGTAACTGCTAGGGTGGGCCGGAAGAAATAAGGATGGGCCATGAAATTATTTTCATCAGTTTGGGTGGGCCATGAATTTGTTTTTGTGCAAATGGATGGGCCATGAAACACATATAGCCTGTTTGCACTCAATACATACTACAACTACTACACAACATTCCTATTAAAATAATCAACATTCTATAGAACAAAATAATAGAAACATAATCGTATTATTATTATAATTTATTATATAAACATAAGTGTTATATAGAGTTTTTGGCCACTGAGAAAAATCGTATTTAAACACACGTAAAAAATACGATATTTCTACGTGTGAAAATATCATTTGTTGTAAAACGTATTGCCACGGACGTTTTTTTGTTTTTCACTTAATTTTTTTTATATAATAAACAGAAAAATACATGGGTGCTTGGAAATACCAGATTTATTTCTCGTGTTGAACATGATATCTCACTCGTTCGCTGCGCTCACTCGTGAGATATCATGTTCAACACTCGAAATAAATCCGGTATTTCCGCGCATCCATGTATTATTCTCTATATCATTAATATTTTGTAAGTCACATCTACAGGCATTGATTTTTAAATATCCACACCACCCATCCTCACAATCAGATTCTGATGACATAGAGTCAGACTGAGAAGATGATGTTTCCAATTGTTTTTTTAACAAAAAAATCAAGTGTACATTGTTTTTTCCCCACAACTGTTGTTTTTCACTTTCTTTTGACTTGTTACTTGTTTTTTCTTCTTCAATGAAGTTACAATTTCATTTACTTGTTCTACAGCATCATCTTCAAAATAATTCTTGGCAATTAAAGTTTTTAATGCTGTCATATGGTACCTTGGTTTAAGTTGTTTAATAGGCTCAAGCACACACATCTACTTGAGATTTTTTCAGCACCATTCTCCAGAGACTCGTACTTGATTCTGCCACTTGTAATAATCTTTGTGACATCACACGCTCTTGCGTTTTCTCTTGCATTATTTCTCTCAGACTCTCATCTCTGCATCACTTTTGGAGGAAATTTTCCGATCCTACAGTTAATAAATTACAATTAGTAATGATTGTTGTGTGACTGTTGTCCATCCAATTTGTTGTCGTAAAATTTGAGTTCATTGGCTTTCCAGGATTTGGAATCCACAAATCTTTGGCTGCTGTTGGCCACTTGGCCCTACGGGTTTTCCAAAATTATCTTTGTTTTTAATATCCGCCAGGCAAAACATGTTAAAATATATATACTTACAAGTTGTAACATATTTGTGGGAAACACTCGACATTGGTGTAGTACCCTGGCTTGCCATGTCTTTATCCTGTACTCCATGTTTGGTCTTCGAACTCAAAATTTCTATTGCAGAATGCAGATAGAAATCGTTTTCGATGACACTGATGACCTGACTTGTCATACAGCACAACTTCTTTCAAAACATCAATAATTTCCTCTGGCTGCATTTCCAAGAGTGCTTTAGATCATCGTACCCAAGCTCCATTAACTTGTTGACATAATGTGAAAGGTTGTTTTTCTCAAGAAATGTTTAAATTTTATCCGCCATGTTGTTTCAAAACCGTGAGCCAGCATGCCCCAAGTACAGCTTTTACACGTAACTACTTCGTGTAGCGTTACATAAAGTGGCACCTAATCCTATCAATGTACATTCTAATGTTTATGCGTTTTATTCATGTTCACGATGATGCAAAAAAATGAAAAATCCAATAGAATTCGCACTGATATCCGAGAAAACTCCAGTTTGTCAACGAATGTTGTTGGCTCACTACAAAATTGTAAGCTGAGTGCTGTGGAGGATTTACTAACTTCAAAGATCGAAGCAATAGACGAGCACAAATGCTGAAAAATGCACGTCATGATCAGAGACATACTCATCGAAACAATCTTCGAGGATTGAGGGCAGTATCACAAGAACTTCTTTGTATTATTTTAAAATATTAATATTAATATAACGAGAGATATCAAATAATGATTCTTCAATAGTTTCAAATCACATCTACTTGGTGTGTAAACTACTAAATATGTAACCAATTAATTTTTTCTATAAAGTTATGACAAAGTGACTCAGTGCATGGTTTGATCAAAGTGACTGTTTTACTGTACATATTCATGTATAGCAGGATGGGCCATGAAATTTTTCCAATGACCTGCGATGGGCTTTGAAATTTTTTCTTGGTTCTCAGGATGGGCCACCGGTTTTTTTTTGGAAAACCTATTTTTCCCTCCGGCCCACCCTAGCAGTTACTTTATGGCCGGTCCCTTAGCAAGTAGCAACTTCCTACGGAGACGGGAGACCACGTTGGTGCCTGGCGTTACTATTTTTGAAAAGAAACTGTTAAAAAGAACAACAGGTTTAGTTTGTATTCTTTTAATTTTATTCGTCGAGTCAACATACAGTATTTAATTATATATCAATAAGAGAATAGACAATATAACATAACATTAGACTAAAACAGAACCGTTTGCCGTTACGTCAAGTCCCTTGCCAAATGCTTTTAGTCAATTAGAGAAATCTCTGAGTGAACCTGTTACCGACGTTTCAGCCAGCTGTCATGACCTTGATACACCTGATGACACAAATGATTCACCTAATAACGTGAGCATGGTAGGTATTACATTAATTGCCAACTTGGCAATTTTAAATTTAATTTCTAAATTGTATTCTATACAGCTCAGTTATTAAAACTTTGCAGGATTTAATGTGTATAAGATCATTGTGGAAAGACGAAGAATATAATGTTGAATCACCTGGGAAACGTATCCGAAGAGATAACACGTTTGTCATTAGTACCACTATCACCACTGACATTGACAATGTGGAGTTTAGAGGAAAGAGGAAAAATACGGGTACAGTACATCTACTATCAAGTCTATCATGCTGTCTAAGCCTGTCTTTATTATATAACAATTAACAAACACCAATAGTGCAAATTTTAGCGGATAGTAAAATAACGTGAACATTGTTCTTTTGCAGGCAGATATTGAAGTTTCGGCTTCAGATGACGAACTCGTTTCCAACGATGAATTTGGTTCCAGTGAAGAATTTGGTCCCAATGATGCTGATGAAAATTCTGAATTGTCAGAAACGGTTAATACAGATGCGAAAACCGTCACATGGATCGAATGCTTTGGAAGGCTTAGTCATCTTCGTTGTAACTTGATGGAGTGCCAAGAATTAATCTCCAAAGTCGGAAAATTAGATGCACCCCAGCCAGAAAATCTTCTAGGAGAGCTTCTCGACGTAGTTGAACGTCTCAACAGACAGTCGTCATCCTTGTTATCCGATACCAACCGAGCACTTGCACACATCAAATCTCAGCAAACTCAAGTTTCTGTATTCCCGTCTACTGAATTTATCCCTATTGTTCGTGATCCAGGTTGCAGAAGGAAGATATTAACGGACGAAGACAGAGTATACATGATTGAACAAGGTCCATTTCAGCCAAAACTTACGAGATACCCCAGAAACCGTGACATTCCTCCTCCAAAACACTGTCAATTTTCCTCAGAATGGTTTAACACGTATCCACATCTAGAGTACTCTATCAGCAAAGATGCTGCTTTTTGCTTTGTATGCCAGTTATTTCCACCTCTGCCTGACTGTCGCAAGGCTGACGAGTCCTTTGCTGCGTGGGCATTGAACGGCGTTCGAGCTTGGCACAAAATGGAAAGCCGTGGAAAAAGCACACCAGGGAAATTGGCTACCCATTTTACCAGCTCAATCCATCGAGAGGCTCTTAGAGCACTGCTTGCCTTCCAGAATAAATCTGTCCACGTCAACGTCTTACTTGATAAAGATCACAGAAATGCACTGATTGAAGAAGAGGCTGAAACTCAACGCAACCGTGAAGCCATAAAAGCACTGTTGGACGTGACAAGAACTCTTGCACGCCAAGCAATATCGTTCCGTGGATCTTCGTCTGAAAAAGAGGGCAATGGAAATTTCCGACAAGTTGTTGCTTTGGTGGCCAGGCACTCCCCTGCACTCCACTCCAGAGATGGTTGGATGACGCTCCAACGCGCCCGCACAGAGTCGATTATCTCAGCTCCAGATCACAAAACGAGTTTCTTACCTTGCTGACAGAAGATGTTTCAAACAGAGTCATTGCTCAAATCCACCATGCTAAAATGTTCTCTGTTATCGCTGATACAACTCCCAGGGGCGCACATTCGCAAAAAAATTGGGGGGGTGTTCTATGTGCTGGGACCGACTTTTGTAGTATTTGTGTTTGGTAAGAAAAGCCAACTATTTAAAGCGCATAGACGGTAAGACGGGGATAGTATTCCAAAAGTTTAAATAAACGTTCAGTTTTTCAGAACTTTTGCAGTGGTCTAAACTTTCGGATGGGGGGCAGGGGCAAAATTTTTATGGATTTCGAATGGGAGCGCCGTAGGCGCGAGGAAAATTTTGAATTTCTAGATTCATTAGAACGCTATTTCACGTATTTTAGGACGAGGTTTGAAGAAAAGTTACAACCACAAAAAGGCATTTCTAAGTCGCCTAATGTTGTTAGATCGAAAAAATATTTATGTAAAACATAGTATTTATAATACTTGTATCTCTTTTACATAGTTTATTTCTAATATCAACTGCACGCCACAAAATACTAATCCTAATGATTCCATGTGCTCTCCGGTCACATGACTATATCTGTCACTCAAGTCTATGACATTACTACACCATTCCCTTTGTTTTAACAAAACATAAATGTTTTAACTGTTCGAATATAAATTGTGTCCATATCACAAATTAATACTAATTTATCTATAGTTATTACTTTAATAAAAGTCACGTAACAATGTTAGACGGTAATGTTTGTCCGTATCTTTCGGGTTGCTTTCTTACTCTTGTGGACCGTCGTGGGTGCATATTCATACCGTTACCACGATTGTTGTTATTACGGTCGTTCATGTTAAACTGTATTGTTTCCTCTGGAGTACGCTGATTGTTACTCTCTGTACTAAAAGAAAACTCGGGTTTGATTCCCAGTGACTTTAAGTACTGCTTATATTCATCTCCATTAAACGGTGGGCCATTGTCTGACTTTAAGACTTCTGGGATGCCATGCACAGCAAATATTTTATCAAGCTTCGGTATCACTACTGAAGCTTTTGTAGAACGGACGATTTCCACGTCTGGAAATCTTGAGTACCGGTCAATCACCACCAGTAGGTAGTCATTCGATGGCAGAGGGCCATAGAAGTCGACATGTAAAACTCTCCAGGGGTGTTTTGGCATATTTGTTGTTGCTATTGGCTCAGGTGCATTCGCTCGCCCAACTGCTTGACATGCAACACAGCGTTCTATTGTGTTTTTCACCATGGTGTCCATCTGGGGAAACCATATCTTTTCTCTAACAAGACTTTTGGTCTTTTCAACTCCAAGATGTGCTTCGTGAGCTATGTCTATCGCTCTTTGTTGTAGAGATTTTGGAATTACAATTCTGGTTCCTCTAAGAATTACTCCATGGGACGTGACAGTCAATTCATCCTTTATCGATTTAAAGGATTGTACTACAGGTGAGTCCCATCGCTTGAGTCGTATAGCTGCACGGAGACCTTTTAATGTGCTGTCCGAATTGGTCGCTTTTATTATTTCATCCAGAGTCATGGCTCTGGGGACCGCATTATGCACAATGAAGTTAATATATTCCTCGGTCATTTTCTCTTGCTTTCGTGAATTGGGGTTGATTGGATGTCTCGATAAATAGTCGGCTGGATTATTTGCGCCTGACTTATAAACAATTTTAAACGAGTATGGCTGAAGTCGAAGGATCCAGCGCTCGATTCTTGCTGAAGCTTTCGCCTTTCGACTTCCATAAATCACTTCTAACGGTTTGTGATCTGTAACTAGAGTGAATTGGCTACCATATAAAAACAAATGAAAATGTTCAACAGACCAAACTATTGCTAAAGCTTCCTTTTCTGTTTATGAATAACGTGTTTCTGTGTCTGTTAGGGATCTGCTTGCGTATGCAACAATTTTAGGATCATTCGTAGCTGGTTCCTGTTGTGATAGAATTGCTGAGATGCCCACAGGACTAGCATCTACAATGACCAGTGTCTCTTTGTCTTTAGCAAAGTATGACATACATGGTGCTGATGCTAAGGTTGCTTTCAATTTATCAAAACATGCTTGGTGTTTTGGCAACCATGTAAATCGTGCATTCTTTTTCGTTAGTTCTCTAAGTGGGGCAGTTAAAGTTGCAAAGTCACGAATATATTTGCTACTGTAGTTAGCCATGCCTAATAAACTACGCACTTCAGAAACACTAGAAGGCTGGGGAGCATTGAGTAAGTCGTTTACCCGTTTCGGGTCAGGTCGTGTGCCTTCTCTGGAAAATATCTGTCCGAAAAATTCCAGCTTATCTTCGAGGAATGTACACTTTCCTCGGTTTAACTTTAGACCAGAATTAGATAAGCGGGCAAGGCATTTATCTAAATTTTGATCATGTTCAGCTCGTGTTTTTCCGAACACGATTATATCGTCTGCGATATTTTTTACTCCATTTAGTCCCTGTAGCTTTGTTTGAAGGACATGTTGAAAGATCTCAGCGGACGCATTAGTCCCATAGTTCAAACGCTTGTAACGATATAATCCTACATGAGTACTGAACGTGGTAATAAATCTGCTTTCTTGATCTAGCACTAGTTGATGGTAAGCTTGAGATAGATCAAGTTTAGTGAAATATTGTGCCCCGTTGAGTGCAAAACTAACATCGTTCACGGTAGGAATGGGGTGTCGTACCCGGCGTATGGCTTCATTCGCTTGCCGCATATCTACGCATATTCTGACTCCCCCATCTTTCTTAGGAACTACGACTATGGGTGATACCCATGGTGTTGCCTCATTCTCAGGCACCCTTTCAATTACGTCTTCCTTCTCAAGTGCTTTTAAGGCGTCTTCTACCTTTTTACGAATGTGATAAGGAATTCGACGTTGAGGTTGGGCTTTTGGTATTTGGTCTTTATCTATGTCTAATTTTACTGTCTCACCTTTTAATTTGCCCAGTCCGTGAAATACTTTAGTATGTTTTCCAATGATTTTGTCCAGGTTGTCATCTTTCGTTGTGACATGATTTAGATGTAAAGTTATAAGTCCAAGGTCTTGAGCTGTAGCCAGAGACAAAAGATTTCCACTATTTTGGCCTTTTACTACATAGAACATGGCCACAGATAACCGCTTGCGTGTTTCCACAACTGCCTCGAATTTTCCAAGGAATTTTACAGGTTGTGTTGTATTATACGGAAATGCTTTAGTATTTGTCTGCTTTAACTTAACACCGTCCATTTTCGAAAATGTTTGTTCATCGATGACATTAATTGTTGCCCCCGTATCAAGTGTCATCATAAAAGACGCTCCGCCCACTTTGACCTTGACTTTAGCGGTATTTGCTTGATCTTTGTTTACCGTATATAAATAATCCTCATCAGAATTGTCCGTTTCGTCGTGGTTTAAAGGATTTAGAGCTTTTCCCCGACCTTTGTGTTGTTTTCTAGTATTCTGTTTCGGTGCTTTCGGCTTACTTTTGCATACCCTAGCAAAATGATTTACTTTGCCACATATAATGGCATGTCTGACCCTTCGCAGGGCATTGTCCTACGTGCGGATATTCACGCCCGCAATAGCGACATGTTTTCGCTTCGGTTTTCGCTGATTTCCCATCGAGTTTGTTTGTATATATGGCATGTCTGACCCTTCGCAGGGCATTGTCCTACGTGCGGATATTCACGCCCGCAATAGCGACATGTTTTCGCTTCGGTTTTCGCTGATTTCCCATCGAGTTTGTTTGTATATACCTCGGTTGACTCTTTTGACTCAATGTCCTTAATCTGATAGGAACTTTGCTCATCTCTTCGCCCTTCTAATAACATGCCTTTCAAGTCGAATTTCGGGTCTCTCAACGCGTGTTTACGAATCTTTGAGGATGTGCCGCCAATGATAATTTGTTGTTCGATTTCGAACTCTACGTCGTTGAATTCGCAAGTTGCAGCCATTGTCCGCAATCGCGTGTGATATTCATCAAGGGTCTCATCAGTTTTTTGCATAGCTTGACGAAAAAGATACACTTCATATCTTCTGTTTTTCTGTGGATCGAAGTATTCCTTTAGTTTGGCTTTGGCGACTTCGTAATTATCATCGTTACCCGTGTCCACTAATTGTTTAAATATTTCTCTCACACGAGGTCCTGCTTGATATAATAACAGCGCTCGTTTACGTTTAGCGTCAGTGATCCCACTGGCTATAATGAACATTTCAAAATCTGCTTGCCAGTTATTCCATCTAGTAGCGAGGCTTGCTCCTACTTTGGCATCGGGACGAAATTCAGGCATAGGCTGTATTGTGACCGATTGTGCCATTTGTACAACTTGTACCGCTTGTTGTGCTGGCTGTGGCGTTTCTTCATCTGCCATATTGTTCACTTTATATCCTCGTCGCCAGTATAATATTTGTATTCTCTTTATAAAAAACTGCAACAGGAGGC